AAATGCGGATAATATAGCCTTGCGAAGTTTGCCGTTTTTCAGTCATTTTGTATTACGCACGGGAAATTGCCAGCCCAATCGGGTGTTGGGGCATCAATTTCCCGTTTGCAATACAAAATGACCGAAAATTGCAAATTTCGCAAGGCTATATTATCCGCATTTTACAACATTTTGCAACGAAACTTTGGAATATTACTAATTTTGTGATGCTCTTTCAAGCTGTGATGAAATTTTTGTCTAGATCAAAATTTAGTCTATAATGCAAATGGTCCATTTTCGAGTCATTGCCCCTTTAACTGAGTTCATATGAACAAGCAGGCGAGCGTATGGTGATTGGCAAAGTCATCCGAGTTTATGGGGCTCGTTCTTTGGAAAATTTAGTTTTATCATGTTTCATTATTGTTATATAAAGCAATCGGAGATAACACAGAACCCGTTCTTTTGGCTTCGTGATCATGACCTGGCCTGTTCTTTGTGATATTTTGTAGATTAAACATTTATATTTTGCAAATAAACTATATAGAAGTTGAATGTGTAAAGACTCTCTTGTGTCAGAGAAAAACCTATATCTCATACATATATAGATAATAAAGTTGTTGAAGACTAGCAGTTTTTTTCCGCGTATTTGCCGAAAATAGTTTGCGATAAAAAGTGTTCAAAACCTAATTTTGTTTGTCATTCCTTTTGAGATTATTTTGTTTTAGCGTTATCTTGTAGTTGACACAGTTAGCAACCTTTTTAAATGTATCTGGCGGTTGAGACACACAAAATAAGTTAAATATTGTCAATTTAAATACAATTATCATTGATGCTGTAAAACTGACGCCATATTTATACAGCAATACAAAACTTACCGAAATTCAGACATCGTTTTCTCTTTGGCGTGCCATCTAAAATCTCTTCATTTTAGCATAATGTTACAGATGAAGCACTAAACATACTTTTTAAGTTTGCTTGCCGCTTGAGTAACGTGTCAAAAATTTAAAAATTGAATATAGTCCTAACCAGTGAAAAAATATATTCATTAGTTTTGCCGAGCGCGTGTTACTAAAATGCAAAAGATTCCCCTCTTAAAATGAATTTATTAGTTCTACAATATTTGCCCTACCATAGTGCAAACGTTTTCATTAAAATGCTACGAAATTTATCTGTGAAAAACTATGTCTATTTTCTAAAGGTGTAATGGATTGGATTGATTGCTTTTTATTCGGCTTTCTTCTCTTCGAGCGAAGCAGCTTGTTCTTGTCGTTGGAACATGACTTCAGCCGTTTCTTCCTCAAATCCAACATTGTAGAACTGATACAGCAATTTCAATGCTTTTTCTGGCATAAACCTAAGAATTTTAAAACGATAATGACCTCAGGATTGACGTGTTTTCACGACTACACACGTCAAAATCTCACAATTTGTCAACAAGATGTGTTCGCAACAGGCTTCTACTGTTGTAGCAAGCTAGCTTGTCAACAAGTTGTAACAATGCTGTTATTTTATCAAGTTGCTATACAAAGTTGTCACTCACAAGTTGTTGACAAATTGTTGAATTGCAGGACGATAACAAGTTGTTGGGACAACTTGTAACAAGTCTGTTGAGCTCAACAACCTTGTGACAACTTGTCAACAAGCTGGGAACAAGCAGTGCGAACACATCCTGTTGACAAGTTGTTGGAACAGCATTGCTACAAGTCTGCTGCAGCGTTGTTACAACTTGTGCGTTTTTACGTGTGTACCTCGAAAGGCAAACCGCTAGCGATCACGTGACTAGATTCCAGTGTCTTACACACACGAAGCAAAGTCTGCCAACAAGTGGTCAACAAGTTGTGTTCGCACTGCTTTTCCCAAGTTGTAAACAAGTTTAGAACAAGCTGTTAACAACTTGTAACAACCTTGTTGATATTATCAGACTTGTTGCAAGGTTTTTCCAACAAGTCCGATACAGTCATGACATAGCAATATTGTTACAACTTTGTGTCGTCAATCTTGTAACATTCTTGTTATACCATGACTGTGTCAGACGTGTTAGAACAACCTTATAACAAGTCTGATAATGCCATCAAGCTTGTTCCAAACTTGTTACAACAACTGGGAACAAGCAGTGCGAACACAACTTATCGACAGCTTGTGAACAGATTCGTAACAACTTGTTTGCAGACCTGTAACAACTTGTAACTCACTGCTTATCAACAAGATGTGTTCCAAGTTGTTGACAAGTCTGAAACAAGTTGTTACCATCTTGTAACAAGGTTGACGAGGCCAACAGACTCGCAATAAGTTGTTCCAACAAGTCTCATATCGTCTGCACGTAACAATTTGTTAACAAGTTGATGACAACAAGCTCGTAGCAAGTTGTTACGAGCAGCCTGTATTAGTTTGTTGGAACAACTTGTAGCAAGTCTGTTATCGTCATCAACGTTGTAACAAGATGATAACATCTTGTTCCAGAATTGTCGCAACAACTGGGAACAAGCAATGCGAACACACCCTGATATCGACTTCACACCAACAACCTTGTTACAACTTGTTGCAGATCGTTTTACCGTTGTTAAATACAGGGTGTACACCCTTTGGTGAAGGGAAATTACTGTAAAGGACTTTTCCATGACTTTTCAAGACCCTTTTTTCACTGAATTCAAGGACCTAGAACTGGGAAAAATCTTTGAAAATGGCACGGATTTGCCCCACTTTGAAATAACAAAATCACTAATGTTGGCACAGCTGGAGGTTAAGGAAATTAATTCCAGGACTTTCAAGGATTTCTACAGATTTTCAAGGACTTTTTTTTTCAAGGAATTGTTTTTCAATTCCAGGACTTTCCAGGATTTTCAAGGCCTGTGGACCACCTGTAAATAAAGCATTAGTTCAACGTATAAAAATGATATGATTTGCTTACTGCTGAAGCGCTACATTAATTCTCAGGGCTTTTGGTACTAGGATCACACTCTTGTTGCGCAACATGCCATCCACCAATTCTCTTGCAACAACTTCAGCTTTCAAAATAGGAAACATTGACGGAAATCTATAAAGTGAATGAAGTATTACGCCGTCAGTCCATGACAAAGACCTTAAGGTGGCTCCCTACAGTTGTGTTAAGCATGGGACTGGTAACGAAATGACGTGATCTTGTCGAGTTGAAATTTTGATCGCGTCAGCAAAAATATCATTCGTCCGCGCATGGTTTGTAATGCAATAAATTAACTTCTTTTTTCCTTCGGTCAATTTTTCTGACATTTTGTATTTTGCAAGTACTAGTCATTTATTGCAATATACTCAATTTTCAAAAGATTCTATAAAACAGTTTTTGTGGAACAAATTTCGCGTAATATCTCAAAAACTGAATTTATAACCCGCCCTAATTTTGAACTTTGAAACTTTGACCGAAGGAAATTTTGATAAATTTATTTTTAGTCCAAAATTTGATCTTTGTCTGCTGTCGCATAGGCCACATTGTTACCATAGCAACACACAATTTGCTTCTTTCAAACGATTATACTTCAGATAAAGATTACGCAAGCGTTTCTACTTAAAAAAAAATTCACATGAATAGCAAATATTTTGCTTCATTGTGAAGACCTTATTTTTCGCTCCTGTTTCTTAGAATTGTAGGGAGCCACCTTAAGATTAGCGTGCACAAGACCTTCTGACTCCGGGTCCCGAGGGGTTTGATTGTCTACACGTAAAAATCTCACAACAGGCTTGTAGCAAACTTGTCAACAAGCTGGGAACAAGCAGTGCGAACACATCCTGTTGACAAGTTGTTGGAACAGCATTAATTGCTACAAGTCTGCTGCAAGTTTGTTACAACTTGTACGTTTTTACGTGTGTGCATTAATCACCTTGATGTAACATTGCCAATCAACGGCGTATCAACCATGATTGGACACAAACATGTAGTTTTCACGCCAGATTTTCCCATCATCATAAGTTCCGTTTCCAACGCCGTGTGAAAACCGACGGCACCAAATTTCGACGTGCAGTACCCGACAAGATTGTGTGCACCAGACATTCCGGCAATCGAAGCGACTGTGACAATGTGGCCATAGTTCATCTCTTCCATGTGCGGCAAGAATGCTTTTGTAGTCTGAGAATTATGACAAAAACAAATCCTGTTTCACGACACAAATTATTACAGTAACATATAGAAAAATTGGACAGTTATATCAGTCATCAGATCTGTCTGACCAGGGTGCGATAATTCGATATTTTTAGTCGTACTTGACTGATACGCCAATGGTTGTTGCTTCGTACAAGTTTGCACAAACTCAGTACTCAATGTGTATTTAGTCATTAAAATAAGGTTCGTAAAGTACAGGTTTCTGAAAAGTACGTTCATGCAGACTACGAGGTAGAAAAAGGAAGCACAATTGCATATATACAAACAATCGACTCCAACGTTTCTTAGTGCCATCAGTGCAATCATGTTTCATGCCAAGACATCTCAGACACAATATATACCAACTAAATTATGTTTTTTTCTGTGTTGGTGTAATGTACTCAGGTGAATATGAGGCGTGTGATGTTACTCTGAGTGTATATCCACACCGGGCAAGCTTGAAAAATATGCCTGTCCACGGTGGGAATCGAACCTACGATTGGTGTTGAATACTTTGAGCTTGGAAAGGTCATGTGGTACCAGCAAAAAGTAAGTACGCAGATAGCAAGAGTTCCGCGTACCTACGTGGTACGTGGCTGAAAACAAAGAAGTACCAGACAGTAATATTGACGTACCTCCGGTACGTAAGGACGCGAATTATCGCACCCTCTCTGTCCGACTGCTCTTCCTAAAGGTCCAAGCCGTTTAATCAGTAGAGAAATGAAAAAAGATGCGGCTCTTAGGCACATTAGGTGTGGGGCCATGCCTGCAAATAATTATTTTACTTGGAAGGACAAATGTCTGGCCAAGTCAAAAATTGGTCGGACAGTGGACAAAGTAAAACTTTTCATATATTTTAAATTCTAATTAGCACGATGTACTGTATATATCTAGCACTCCTAATGGAGCAGTAAATTGTGGTTCAGGTTATACATAACTTAATTTCTACCATGTTATACGATAACGAAGGTGATGTCGATTTATAATTAAATCTTACGGCTTAATGCAGCAAGAAATAGTGGCGAAGTGCTGTCTATATTCTTGTTGGTTTTAATATTAATAAAAAATGTGTTAAATGAACACTTTTTTGAGATTTGACCAGCCTAAATCAGTTTATAAAAAGACCTAAACTAACTTTATTTATACTGCATAGTTCTATCAGTTCTAAAGACTGTTGTCTCTAGTGGTCTAGACTAGTAAGAGTCATCCCTATTGGACTAGTGCTACCACAGAAAGAAACCAGTGGCGTAGCTAGCCCGACAATTTAGTCCCGCTATGAAAATTCAAAATTATTATCATTATTCATTTCTTTAGAAATTTATTGTTTTTACTGTCAATGAACATGAAAATATTTGCATAGCGGGACTAAATCGTTGGGCTGGTTACGCTACTAAAAGAAACCAGAATTTAGTTGGAAAATGTCTGTTTGGTGCCGAGTCAAAAGAACTCTAGTTTTTCGTACACAAATACATAAACCTACCCAAAAGTGTGCAATGGTGTTCACTTCGACCTGTTTGGCCAACTCCTTGTCAGAACAATTTAAAAAACTTCTGGCAATCAAAATGCCAGCGTTGTTTATCAAGATGGTCACATGTCCGACTTCTTCTTTGACTTTCTTGGCAACGCTGTAGACGTCATCTTTGTCAGTGAGATCACATTTGTAGGCGTGAACTGTCGCGCCTCCTTTACGCAACTTGCTTGCCACCCTGTCGCACGCCTCTGTATGTTAAAAAGAAAGAGAGATCACACACCATACCATACCATACAACACCAAACCACCATACCATACTAAATCAATACCAACAGTATCATACTACACCATACTGGTCAAACCATATCATAACATACTGGTATACTATACCAGTAGTACACACCATATCATATAGCATATATATTTATATCATACTAGGAGGGATGTGCTAGATACTGCTTTGCTGGTTACTGGATGGTACCGGATACTAGTCTACCAGATAATAAATGGATACCGGATACTGATGGTGTTACTTGGACAATCCGTCAATAACTTTCTGTCATAAAATAGTCCATTGTCTGCATGTTTAGTGTGTGGCACAAAGATCATCAGGCAATATTGTAACATGGCAGTGTTATACCATGTTATTTAATATATTCAATACTATATTCAATACTATATATTCAGTATACTGTTATAATTATAAGAGGAAGACCTTAGGCAACCTTCCTCGCATGAATAAGCAAATATTTAGGGAGATTAAAGAACCACGGGAAACGCCTAGTACCACAAACCACGCAAACAGGACATAGTTTTGTGGTTGATAAACACTGCTAGAACGTGCTTTGACAAACATATTGCGTAGAGGAAATTAGTCATAGTTACAGATTTCTTCCTCTAAAATTTATTATAAAAGCTGAGCACAACCTGAGAGTCGGGCGGAGAGTGAAGTGAGGAGAGCGGAGAGTAAAGTGAGAAGAGCCATTTAGGCTAAAATACTTCATAAGCCAACAAAGGCTGAAGTATATAATTAAAAGGCTAGATAATTAAGCCTCGTCAAGTAAACTGAAGAACATTGGAATATTGTGGAATAATTATTATTAAAGAAGACGGAATACAAAGTATAAAGAATAAAGATTCAAAGTTGTGCTCAGCTCAAACAAATAGAGATATAAGTTGATATATTAAGATTACTATATTATTATAACATTATAGAGACGCTAATTCATATTGTTGAAAGTAAATAAAATATATAAAAGGTATAAGGTTTCATGCTATTTGTGTTACGGTAGCGTTAATATAATTTGAACCCGAATCCTAAAGGTTGAAAATATACCTAATTCGAAAATATATTTGACGCATAAATAACGCACCATAACAG